ATGTTCATTAAGTGAACTCCAAATAATATTCTGCTTGGTATATTCATATTTTCAACTTTTTCTCAGTGTGCTTGTTTCATGAACAACCTATAATTAATCCGAAGTAATAATAAATCATGAATGCAATAGGTTTATTACTTGAATAGTTGGAATAATCAGAAACATTAATTTCATCAAGTTGATTATCTTTATGACATTCATTTTGTTAATAGTAATTTTGATTAATCAGTTGTCTTTTTATAACACTAATCAATGTAATTGATGCTCATAGGTAATCAATTTTATTGAGTTAATCACCCAACCCTAGCAGTGTGAGAAGTTGTACATATGGTTTATCTTCTAGTGTACAGTTGGTAAAATCTTCAGATGTGTCTTAAGCCAAATTAATTTCACACATACTTTTTGTCAATCATGATATATCAGTTTTACTACCAATGTGATTACAAAATCTCTCCTATACTTTCATAGGTAAGCTTCATTATTAACATTTGGTTATTGACAATTTTCATTTCATTTATCCTTATAATATAAATCTATGTGTATAAGTTTTAAATTGGTGAACTTTATTTGGATTACATTTTACCTTGCCTTAACATGGTTGTCACAGTATCGGGTAGAGCAGTAATTTGATATCAGTCACTGCCATTTTGTTAACATTGTTCCAATGGAAGGTTGCATGGAGCTGAAAGGTGATTTACAAGTATGATTTTTAATTGTTGACTATATTATTGAACCTACAGTGTAAATCTACTAATTTGTGACTGTGGTATCCAATTGTGTGAGAATGTTTTTATTTTCATTATTTAAAAATCACCAAAACCCCCTTTTCTTTATTTGTCATAAATTCTGCATCATTTTGATGAAAAAAAAGAAGACTTCTGTTTGACAAGGGCCCTTTGAAAACAAGTAACAATCATGAAAAAAAAGGGTGCAAACTTTCTTTCAAAGAGATTATTTAAAAAAAAAACCTCCTGTTGCTAAACGTTTTTGTTTTTTTTTAATTTGACCCAACTTGCATATGTTTCACAACATGCTTCAAACTCCAATTTAAGGAGGCATCAATCATTTCTAGGAAATACTAGGCTGTATATACAATTCTTAGTAGCAGCTGTAGAAAAATGGCACTTAATAGATGTCAATAGAGATATCTACAGTATGGGTATTTACCAGGAGTTATTGTATGATTCTTTTTTAAAGAAAGTTATGTCCTATTTACTTAAATATATCCATTATTTGGTGGACACACATTCTTTTGGTCCCTTTCAGTGAGGAAAGGAAGTAGTTGAGAGTAACAACTGGAATATTTTGAGCTCTGAGACACAGAAATTAGAAATAGTAATAGTGAAAGATTATAATATTCTTTCCAGAGGAGATAAGTATTATTTTGAGAGTAAAATTTAGTTATATTAAAATCTAAAAGTATTCAATCCTTATTATTACAGCATGTATATCTAAACCTAAAGTTTTGATATTATGCTTAATAGTAGAATATTAGGTTTAACTAGTTAGTTTTGCTTTTCTAACAGGGTAGCTGAACTTTTGAATGGATTGATTGCCTTCAAATGTGGTGGGTACAGAATATTTAAGATGAGGCTCAATAGATATTTAGATGATCAGGGCAAGATTTTATTATTTTAAAGGCCCTTGTTATTTATATCTTAACTAGATTCATGTATGGATAACATTTTTGGAGAAGTTTGTTAAATATGAATTTGAGTGGGCTAACTAATAACCCATTATAATAATGGACAGAAAGGTTGTAAATTTGATTTGCACTATTACTAATGTTAAATTTTCAATGATTGTTAAATCTATAATAGTACTTGTAGCTAAAAACTACTAGTCATTTTGAGGAATATTTAGGTTAATGGTTGAAATTTTAGAATGATGGTGGTCTACAAGGTGAGCAAAAAGTCTTGCCCCCCCCCAAAAAAAAAAAAAATAGAAATAGCATACTTGAAAGAACTAATTGTATGTTGACGTGACTAACAAAGGTTTGATTAATAATCCAAAATGTTTTGTCTGTTGGCCTTCATTTTCATGAGAGGATGATACACTTCCACATGTGTGACATCCTCCTTAGCATCTTAAGGTGACCTCAGTGAAACTTTGTTTTTGTTTCAAAGAGTTGGTTGTTTCATAAAAACTTTATTACTAAAATATAAACAAATTAAATAGTTAACATGAGCTTTAAATAAGGGGGAGTGCCCAGACTTTTTGCCCACTCTGTAGTTTAAAAGTTCAAAAGCATTTTACAATATAAAAGGAATCAGAGAATTAACTTTAAATAGTTGATACAGCACAGTTCACAATAATAAATTATTTTACAATATTGTAATAGCTCCTCAATTAATAATTAGTATGTATCTTATATTTTGGCTGATAATCCACTGCCATTTTTATGGAAGTGTGTTTATGGTTATAGTGACCATGGCTTTATCCTGGATCATCCTAAAAGGCTGATGAACTTCTCTTGTCAGAGGTGTTCCCTGATGAGGACTTGAATTAACTATTTGAATGCTTTCAATAGGGATATCTATTTTGCTTACTTTGATACTAGGTTGTGTTATCAGTTAGGTGGATGTAGATGGACTCTCATATCTTTCTTTGTATCTCATAATTGTAGTATTATACTTTATTATATGCCTTCTGTATCATTGTGGGCTATTCCATAATTTTGAACAAACCAACAATAAAAGGTAGAATTCAGGAGTATAACAGATGCACAGTACTGTGTTACCAATCCCATCTGCAATAACCCATCATGCCAGAGAAGACCATAGAGTAAAATAATATGAACATTTAAGAGGATAATTTATATATTGCACTGACAATCCATCTGCAATATAGCCCATCATTCCAGAGAAGACCATGCAGTATATGTTATATGAAAAGAATGGAATAGGAGACACGTTAACAAGAGTTAATATATTATTTTCACACCACTTAATAGAAATAAACTTGGTCAACCTAGTATCAAAATCAGAAAAACTTGGATTCAAGTTCTAGTGGGGGAGACCCTGGATGAGTGAATTGTGTGCACACCAGCCTTTCTATTAAGCAGATCCTTGATTGAATTGTACCCATGAACACTACAAAGACAGTCCATTCAGGACTGCCCTGAAGACAATAGCTCATTAACATCCAAAACATAGTATAAACTGGTTAGTAATTATTGCTAGTAAATAAAAAAACAAAAGTGACTAATAATTAGAATTAGTTGATTGTAAGGCTACTTAACATTACATCAGTGTTAGAAATAGGTTCACCCGTTAATGGTTGAAAAAACAACATTAATTTGTTTGAAGAGGAACAACTTTTCAAATTGTCTGGTTCTGTACATTAAAACAGATTCGTGCAATTATGAAAGTTTAGACAGTTTTGAGGTAAGCACAAATTGCATTACAGTAAATTCCACTTGGCTACTTTTTAACATTTTTCTCTTTGATGTCCAAGTATTAAAAGGTCTGAGTCTCTTAATTTTGCCTGCCTGAAGTAAGTATTTGTAAATTTTGAAGTTTTTTTATTATCCTTGTAAGACATACATGACTTATCCATTGAAACTTGCCCATAATTATAGCTTTTATGATTAATGCTACCAGATTATATTGTGTGATCTTAAGAATAATATAGTTATATCAAGGCTGAAGGTTGTCTAAGAATTGTTAGTGTTAAATTTTTAATTTGGAAAATTACAAAGCTAATTTTTCTAATATATGATATATTAGTATTTGATGATGGAAACATTATACTTGTTACAATGTGCAAACCTAATACTTAACATATTTCACTTTTTGTTACTTAGACCTTAGGGTCGATATTTTTTCTGTTCTTTATGTCAAATCACAACTAAAAAGTAGTTGTTTGATGATGTGAATATGCAGTTTAATTTTTGCATATTATCAACTACTTAACACACACAAGTATCACTCTTGCTTGATGTTGCAAACCAAAAAATAACCAGTTATATTCTCTTTATCATAACTGTTTTCTTCTAATGCATGTTTCATAGAATTACATAACTTATTTTTGTGAATGGTGGCCAATTTTACATACAAGTAGTTAAAGAAACTGAAAGAAAGGGCTAGAAAGATATTTCAATACTCAGTTGTGGCTTTTGTTGTATATGGAGGGTTTCTTTCATTTATAGTGTCCCATTTTTCAAATACCTACTGGCTCACACTAGATGATCTGTGAATTATTTCTGCATCAGATGATCTTTTATTATGTCCACTAGATGGTGTTTAATACTGCATATGACACATTAAATGTGTACACAAAAAATGACACTTAAAGTCTTGGTATTTGATTTTTCCTTTGTAAAGAAGTTAAGATAAAACTGAGATGTTCAGACATTTGGAAATTATATTTGTGCACAATATTTATTACTTAGTCTGTCTTGCAATTGTTAAAATAAAGAAATCATGATGCTGTTTCTATGGAGAACTGAAGTTGACCCAAAGCTTGCTTTATTATCAAACACCATTACATACATATGATGCAAGAAGTTTAAGATAGTTTCACATTTTAAGTAAATACAGATTTTTCTTATCACACAAATTCTTTGCTGGACATTCCCATTCTTTCTAATATTTAGAAGTTTTTTTGTGTCAGAAATTGAACCATCTTGATAATTGATATTCAATGTGTATACTTAATGATTTATGAATTTTATTTTTCACAAAAAGGCAAATAGTAATATTTTTATTTTTTTTCTAAATCATCAGAAATTTTGAAAAAGAATTGAAAATTCGGTGACATTATGATTTTTATTCTCAAATGCTTGAGTTAGATGGAAGTTATAACACAACTCGTTGTTGGGTGGTCCAATAGAAAATGTATATGATTAAAATATTGGGTTACCTTACAAGCTCATTGCTTGAACAATGGTCAAAACTATTTTCTTTCAATAGTATACTTAATTTTGGGACTTGCATTTATCCTGTCTTGAAATACAAGGCAGTTAACAATCCTAAGCAAAATTCTTTCTCTCTCTAAAGGAAAATAGATTTAGAAGACTGAAAGCAGGGAGTTACAAGAAGAACGTTTTTTTATCGTACAAGACAAGAAGCTATTGAGAAAAGGTCAACTGTGTGTTTGAGACCACTTTTTCTTTGAAAACAAAGGTAAACGAAAGCTTGGTTATTTACAAAGGCATCGGTCTGTTCTTGAATCTGCCCCATCTTTGCGTCGCTATTTCCTATCTCAATTTTTGTTTTGTAAAGGTTTAATAAAAATACAAGAGCAAAACCTAGTCAACTCTGCTAAAAGAGCAATTCCACATTTTTTTGTCACACCTAAGAGTACAACTTGTCCAAGAGAATTGGGTAAAGGATTTCTCAAGGAGAATACCAAATCAGCTAAGACTGGTGTTGGCATTACATTTTACTTCATGTCTTTGTGGTTTTCATTTGTGAACAATTGTCAAAGATTTTAAAGTAGTAGCACTATTAAGCAACACAACTAAGTTTTAAACATGGCTGGAGACGGCTTGAATGGGGTAATGAAGAAAAACTTAT